GCGTTCCTTTTTCCAATCGATTGGCACTATGAGTGTGTGGGTCAGATGAACACTTGAATCGGTTTGAGGTAATATTCGCCGCACGCGGCAGTCACGTGCTAGTTGACTCGTTATTGCAGATCTAGCGTTCTTCATACAGCTCGATCGATATGCGATTATTATTTTTGGCATGATTCTACTGTTAATTCTTCGATTCCTGTATTCCTCACTCGCTGCGCTGCCTGTGCTTCATTCTGCCATATTCCTCCGTACGCGACGTCGCTTTCGCGGCAAAGCGATCATTTCGATTCAACTGCACCACACCCGAATTGTTCCAAACCGCAATTTGTTTATGTTTATGTTTCCCATATGCTCAAAAAGTTTCTGTTTTGATATTTATTCAGATATGTACAGACAGCTAAACCAGTCTCTAGTGAATTCTGAACCACAATTTTTGAACACGTGAAAATTTTCATGGAAATTTAAGTGTTTTAAAATATGGCGTGTACATATATCACAAGATAAACGTTAGACCTCCTGAGAAAGAAGAGGTTCAGCAAGACCCAGCCGTTCCCATTTCAAAGTACGGGAATAGGATGGAATATATAAGGTGTGAGAGTACTTCACCTATGACTACACTAAGGCACAACCAGACGTTGAATGTCATGAAAATCAACATCAGCGAATAGGATAATGTGATTTGGACGAGATTTAGCAGAGCATCAACCAATATGGACGGTGAAATTGTCGGTTCCAACCTGAAATTGAAGCTTGTAACGGGTACTGAGTTGAAGTAGAAAATTGGAAGCTTAGAAAGACTCGATCGGTTAGCTTTTGTTAATAGAGGCTGGGTCCTTCGCTCCTAAATAGGAGAGGCTCACAGTAGTCACGCACAAGCAGCTACGGTATCCATAAACTATAGTTAATGAAATGAAAATGTAACCAAGAAGACCTTCGATGATAAAATGTTCCTGTAAAACCACTCGGGAAGCATCAGAAACTTGGAAAACTGGCGCTTGGCTCTGCAAGGGCCAGCGGTCCTAATACCCCTCAGCCCTTTCCATTGAACTCCGACAAATGTTCTAATGGCAATATAGAATGAGAATGAGGCTGTTTATTTGCTGGTCTATATGTCACCCATGGCATTATAACAAACAGATGATGGCTAAGGATGAGGAGCATTTTTTCGAATGCAATCAGAAGAAATAGCCCTAAAATGAGAAGAGGGAGGAGGTGGCTTAGTGGCAAGTTGCGCACCATCACACATGCACGGTCACGGGTTCAAAACCTGACTCCGTCTCACCCTCGCCTCCCATCCCTCCGGGGCCGGCTAAATGGAACCAGACTCGTCTGGGAGGAAAAAAGCTCTGACTTATACATTGGATGGCCACCGCAAGTCGTTGTATGGGCCATAGACGCCACTATGATTCTGAATGATTGCGAATGCAGGGATTGCATGGACTGATTGCGGTCTGTGAGCGATGCCCAGTTCCGTCTCATTCCTTAGGCGGGACTGATCAACGCTCAAAGTCTTTATCCTTCATCTGGGGAAGGTGGTGGATGCCCATGGAGAGTATAACAACAAAAGGTGTAGTTTGGGGTTCCAAAAGGTAAATGACCGTTGGTAGTAATCTCCAGATAAATAGAAGCTTTCCTTTGAGCCTTTTAGATTCTATCAAAAATCTTTTAACATACCGGAGACGACTATGCACTACTGGCTTTCCAGTATTCCTGTAGGATCGCAGGAACCGTATAGTTTCCATTAAAAAGCACATGACAACGATGATAGCACATGAGAGAACGATGCCTAAAAAAGTTTTTTCATAATTTCCACAAAACTTTACTTCCCTTTCGTTTGTCTCAGTTTGAAGAACCAGTTGTGAGGTTGGATGGACGATTGTGTGGTTTTTCTTTCCTAGTCCCGTGACAGTACTCGAGAAAGGGAACAGAATTCACAAAACCGANATTTTTTTGTTGGTTTATGAGAATGGGAACTGGTTTAGCAAGCGACTCTCCCAAACTACTGACAAATAATTCAGCGGAATCGTCGATAATAGATGGAACCGACCACTGAACTTCTAGGGAAGGTCAACTTACAACTTGATACAGGAATTGAGTTCCCAAGCAACTACCACCATGGCCCGACTTGGTAATCTTCAGCAGGAAAAATGGTTATCCGAAGTAAGCAGTTCTACAACTACCCTAAGTAAAAGTTATGATGCATCTCCAAACGTCACCAAGTCTAAGGACTGTAAAACACCTAGCATGAGGTGTAGAGAACGAGAAGTATGGTAGTTTATCAATTTATTGAAGCAACTTTTCTAGCTGTTCTTCTATAGAGCAACGGCGTTGTTTACTCAGGTGCTCACCAGCAGCATCCACAGGTTTCCAGAATTGGAAAAGGATAGTCTCCATAGATCCGAAGTGGAATGCCATTGCATGGCCTGAACCGTGCATGGCTCCGGCACCCGTATGATCCATTTGAGATGGGGCCATCATCGGACTAGCATCGGCCATCATCGTATGATTGTGGTGATGATCGTGGCTCATCTGGAAAATCGACAGTACTCCCATACAAAATGGAACAAATCGTCTGGGACTTCGATGTACACGAGCAAAGACCAACTCCAAGCAAAGTAACATCGAAGGTAAGCAACGATCAATTGAGATCGAGCATATCAGAAGCGTTCAGGACATTCTCTTCAGGAAGTGCATGACGGCATGCTTTCATGTTCTAACCTTATTTGTTCTTAATTGTCTAATTTGTTGCTATAGCGACATTAAAAATAAATTTGATTTACAATGATCCCACATGGAGAAAACGTCAATGATTACTCTTTCCAGAAGACATTCATCATGGTCATTACATTTATCAATTACGACAGCACGGGAAATTGCAATAGCATAACAAACGGAAATTTCTACAGTGAAATTGCAAGTTAGATAACGGTCAGCCTAACTTGGCCCAACAGTTAGGCCCAGAGCTACGAATATGAGATAAGGTCGGGCACAGGGCGGTCGATATAAGCAAAGGAATAAGCGAAAGGGAATGCGCACAGTAGAATGTTGAATTACAAAGTAAGTTACAATCTCGGACATTTGGATGAGGAAGAGTCAAAGAATGTTACCAGAAAGAGCCTTCTACCCTGGTTCGCTGAGAGTGCTGTGATGGGGCTTGATCCATCTCAAGACAGCAGTCCCGATAACAGCCAGAACTGCGTTGTGCGTATGTAAGTAACTCGTACTTTTTGGCAGGTCGATACGTATCTAATCAATCTCCAGATATTCCAGCCTTTAGATCTTTTACTATCAGGTACTATGAACCCAGAATAACTGGAGATTAGATAAGTGGTGACCTGCACAAATCATTGAGGTTAGCTTGGATCGATTTGGCCTCAGAATACAAGTACGAGCCTGCAGAAGAAGCAACTCCTAAGCCACTCCTAAACTTGCTTTGAAGGAAGGTTGCCGCTGATGTTCTACACATTAGTGGCTTACGATTTTCGGATTTGGATGAGGCTTATATACTTAACTGGATATTTCCTGGACAAATGAGCTTGAACCAGATTACTCGCAAGCAAATGGGGTGTGGTGCATTAGGAACGAAATGGTCGCGTTGCGGTGAGAGGGGCGCCGCGCGCGAAGGAATGTAGCAGGATGCAGCAGTGGGTAAGAAATACAAAACAAAAGTACTTATAGTAGAATTATGCATAAAATAACAATCGCATATCGATTGAGCTGTATGAAGAACGCTAGAGCTGTAATAACGGCGAATGAGTGGTCCGCGACAACCGCGTGCGGCAAATCGTTTACCCAAAATCGTTCCTAACGCCCTTCTCCTCAAGAAAATGCTGTGACTGTGGGGCTACGTACAAAACTTTGTCTTTGGGAATTATGATCGGTCATAAAAGCGTACAATTGCACCAAATACAAATGAAATGTTTGTTTTCTCAGATGATTCTTTTGATTTTTCAAAATTGAAAATAAAGAGCATGGAAAACCTTTGCAATGATACAACGACTTGAGCACAGAAACCAGAACACAGACGTTGAAACAGTTTCTAACAGAAGATCCCAAGAAACAAAATGAATTTTTGTACTGTTAAGCCACATACTGGTTGCTGTACAGGCCATGGTGTCGATTGTTTTCGTGTGGTTTGTTCAATGGGACAACTGGTTTCGAGATTATTGTAAAATTCTTTTAGATGGCCTCATTAAGATTCTACTTGCATACTGTATCATGGCAAAGTAACTACAACGCAGTAATGACAATGAAAAATGGTGTAGGACATTGTCTTGAGACTAATTTTGTTCTAACAACTAGAAATCCTAGGTTGAATTCAGGTGCCTATCGAAGGACTTTACGTGTGTTCGACTTTACTGCTTCGTGTACTGTAGCGCGGGTGTGGTGCAGTAGGCACGAAATTGTCGCGTTGCGGAAGAGTAACGCCGCGCGCGAAAGAATATAGCAGGATGCAGCACTAGGTAAATAACAAAGGAACTGATAGAGGGATCATACCTAAAATAAGGATCCCATATTGATTGAGCTGTATGGAGAACGCTAGAGCTGTAATGACGGCGAAGGAACGGTCCGCGACAGCCGCGTGCGGCGAATTGATTACATAAAATCGTTCCTACTGCCCGTCTCACGAAAAAATGATATACAAAATTTATGAGCATTTTTTGCACGATGACGATATGCGCTGTTGTTCACAATGTGATTGCATCCGATTTGATTTAGCGAACGGCCGTGCTCGTGCAACTTCCAAACCCTATCGAAAGGGTTTGCTTATGATAAATGAAGGCACGTACGCACACAACCTAATCTTACAATCAAGTTCATCTTATAGAAGCCCCTCTCGCTAGAATCTCGCTAGATTAAATAACCATGGAATGGAAGTGACGAATTGGGATTACGCTCAAAATTCTCAAAATCGTTCAAATGTTCGATTTGACTCCTCAAAAATCCTCTCGCTCCAGGTCCTTACTACTCCCTGGAAGCTACCAACTAAAAGGTCTTGTTCGGTACCTCTCCGTTCAGCGATTAAATGCCAGTAGAACAGCGGAACGAAGCCCTGGGTTTCATTGATGAGCACCTGGTTTCGAACCTGACCACTTATTAAAAGATCATATAACCGGAAGTGCTGTTCTTCATGTGTGAGTTCTTCCTGTTTTGAATCTTTCAAGTTCTTTTTGTGTACCGTAATAGAAGGAACGATGGAATATGTTGTGCTTGGTTCCAGTTTATCACTTTTTCTCGGATATTACACAGTCTTAGCTACGCAGATGAATGATGCCATTCGAAATACGATAGATGAACAAATCAGCGAAGAGAAGAAGAAGAGTGGACGCTACAGAGACCGTTCCTGTTTGGAAGGTCTCATGTAAAGAATCGAAAATTTGGAAAATCAAAATAATCAATTGTAAAGTTTCTTCGAACTTCCGGGGGAGAGTCTTTGTTTTGACTGTGATTGAATTAGTTTGAGAAGTTAGTGACAACACTCATTCAAATTTCCGGTGTACTTGAGTGGGTCTAACGTTTGTCCTCAGAGCATTGCACAAATGGGAAAAAGTTATTCGTTTACTGGCATCAGCGGGACGATTCTGCAACAATAATTCTTTGAGATTCGTTGTATTTATGTTGTTTACATTTGAACCCAATCCAGCAAGGACCACCCACATAGTTAAAAGAATCATCCAAGTATAAGTAGGCTGTTATGGGAAGATGGATAAGTGGTGATAAAAAGTCGATCAGTTACGTGGCGGGATACAAATTTGATTTTCATTTAGGGCTGAGAATTCGGGAAATGTGCCTTTGCTATCATTTCCCTTACACCACTACCCCTTGTATACATATGGAGATGATGGGAATAAATAATCCGAGAAAAAAAATTTACAAGCTTAAAAAATCTGAGCTCTCGAGTTTTTCAAGGGCAAGAATAAGCACTCGGGTGAATGTGGGTTAGTAGCGAGCGGAATGGCCCATACACGTATGGTCCAAGGATCGAACGCCAGCCCTGGACCATCCTTGCATCGTTTCTAGGTAGGCTGATGCATTGGTAACAAACTGCAAGAGGTTAAAAGCCATCATGACCTTCTCTGCTAGCAGATAGGCCATCTGAGGCAATGCGAATCTGTGAAGAAGTTGTTTGGGTGGGCTCATCGGGAAACGAATTGGTTGCTGCCAGAAAACTCCTTTTATGGGGATTTTCGGAGACCTATAGCTTTGTAAATTAGTTACGAGCTGCTTACAGGCTCCGAATGCTGAATTGAATAGACGAGCGAAAAGTTCTCATCTACACTGCAAGTTGCAGGTCAACACAAGCATTCCCTAGAAAAGTGAGATAGTTTCAGTCTGGGTTGACTAGAAACGCCCTTTGTCTGAAACGTGCCACTTATAAGAACGCATGGGAACGATTTTCATCTCATAAAAAGCTGTTTTTGTTACGCGTTACTCTCCCGAAGTGGCAAGTTACCCGAGTGCGGAGTCGGAAGTCTGCAAGATGCAGACACAGGTGTAAGTGGAACCCGATCATTGCTCGATTACCATTAAATTCGACCGCTCGAACAAATACTGATAGATTTATGGTTCTTAACTTTGGGGACAAAAGTTGTCGTTCATGAATGGGTATATGGCGAAATGATATCACCCAAATCGGCGAAAGAACTAATTCTGCAATGACCAGGAAAGATTCTTTACTGCTCGTTTCCCCTGGACTGGTTGCAACAGAGCAGAATACGTACTTTTTTTCGGGAACCACCGTTTCTGAAAGAATACTCAATCCTTTGGCCATTTTAGATTTGATAGAAATGCTCTTCCAGTCGATGGAGGCTCATCAAAGTACATGCACCATAACGAGCCCTGTGAAATTTAGCGGATCGAGCTGCGGAGGCTGAGATATAACGATGAGAAGACATCTGACGTCGATTAGTGACGCTGGGACAAACGATGGAGGAACCTTTTAGCGACCATATCCAGAACACACGTTCATATAAATTTCTGGAAAAAAGTTTGCTAAGTACCCTGGCGATATGCAGCTCATCGTCGGTCCCCCTTACAGGCACAGTTCACGATGATTTTGAGGTACCGCTTTTGTGTTGAAAAGCGGGAAGCTTTGGTCTCGACAGCACAGCGGTAGCGAAGAAACCGAGAAAATCCGCTTATTTCGCAAAAAACTAGCCTTTTTTTGTAGGGGTAATAGAGGTTGCACGAGATCACCATGATGAAAATGGAATGGAAGGGCTACTTGGACGAGTTTTTAATTGTTACAAGCTTGCAAAGAACTGACTATATCAAGCCAGAACTGTACAGAACTGACTTCCACTATCGCCATTTATCATGAGAAATGGTTTAAACTTCCTACATGGGTTCCCTTGTGAAAGGTACAGTCTCCACAACGCCGTTGAAACTGTCCGCTTTAGGTGTGGCATTTACACGATACAATGTCTGGCCCCTTATTGATGTCCTGTCCAGGACTTTTCTCGGCTTGGCATCGCCATATATGGTATCAGAAGGGGTCTCGAGTTCATCTTATGGGGAAATCTTAGGAA